GGAGGGAGGGGGTGTGAGTGGGAGGGCGGGAGGTAGGGGGAGGGAAGGAGAGGGAGCCTGGGAGCCATCTGCCACCCCCTCAGGCAGACTTACCAAGTGAGAGAGGAGAGGCAGCCCAGGGCACTGACTGGGGCTCAGGCTTTTCACAACAATAATCAACAGATTTAGCCCTTTAATTGTCCCAACATGTTTCCTTTACAATGTCTCTTCCTCCCTGTGCTGGTGGCTGGGGGCACAGTCTGCCTGTGTATTGGCACACACACACACACACACATAACACTGACCCACACACACACACACAGTCTACCCCCACCGGCACACACACAGCCCTGACACATACAGCACCCGCGACCCCCCCCCCCCCCACCCCGTACACACACACAGCACAACCCCAACCCCCACCCACACACAAACAGCCCACACTCTCCACATACACACACAGCCCCTCCCCACCCACACAGACACATAATTGTGTACAGCAGTATCCCACAAACAGTTGTGGATTGAGTGGCCAAGTCATTGTTATTATTTTAAGGGATTATTACCCTGGAAAAGTAATCCACCAATCGACTAACAACTGGGTTCCTACTTACTACTTGGTACACAGAGGCATGTGGAGTAAGGAAACTTATCTAACCATGACGGTGCCTTCAGCTCCCCTCTCGACTCTACCCCCTCTACGCTCCCTCCCTTCCCTCCCCTCACCCTGACCATTTCCCCCCTGCTCGGGTCCTGACCCAACTGTCCACCGCCTTGGGATGTCCTCCCGACGTGAAAGGCGCTCTATAAATGAAATCTTGTTGTTGTTGTAATGTTTCACCCTGCCCGGGAATCGAACCCAGGTCCTCTTACTTGTGAGGCGAGAGCACTAACTACTGAGCTATAGCCCACAGCCCACATCCCTAGACTCACAGCCTATACTCCCTACACCCACACTCCCCACCCTACAGCCCACACCCCTCATACACATCCATCCACAGCCCCAAACCCAACCACAGCCCCAGCCCAAACCCCAACTCCAACCACAGCCTCAACCACAGCCCCAATCCCAACCACAGCTCCAAATTCAACCACAGCCCCAACACCAACCAAAGCCCCAACCACAGCCCAACCCCAACGATAGCCCCAATCCCAATGACAGCCCCAACTCCAACCGCATGCCCAATCCCAACTCCAGCCCCAAATCCAACCACATACCCAATCACAGCCGCACCTCCTACCATAGCACAATCCCAACCACAGCACCAAATCCAGCCACAGCCCCAACACCAACCAAAGCCCCAACCACAGCCCCAACTCCAATACCAACGACAGCCTCAACCCCAACGACAGCCTCAACTCCAACCACAGCACCAACTGCAACCACAGCCTCAACCACAGCCCCAACCCCACCACAGCCCCAACAACAGCCCCAACCACAGCCAACTACAACCACAAGCCCCAACCACAACCCCCAACTCCAACCACAGCCCTTACTCCAAACACAGGCCCAGCGCGAACCACATTCCTAACCCTAACTCCAATCACAGCCACAACACCAAACACAGCCGCAACCACCAACCTCAACACCAACAGCAGCCCCAAACACAGCCCCAACCCCAACCACAGTCAACTACAACCACAGCTCCAACCACAGTCCCAACCCCAACCGCAGTCCCAACTCCAACCACAGCCCCACAACATTCCCAACTCCAACTATAGCACCAATTCCAACAACAGCGTCAAACCCAACCAGAGACTAAACCCCAACTACAGCCCCAATCACAGCCCCAACTCCAACCACAGCCCCAAACCCAACCACCGCCACGGCCACAACCCCAGCCCGAAACCCAACCACAGGCCCAAACTCAACCACAGCCCCAAACCGAATCACAGCCCCAACCGCAGCCCCAACACCAAACACAGCTCAACCACAGCCCCAACTCAAGCCACAGTCCTAACCAACTCCCACCAGAGCTCCAACCACAGCCCCAACTCCAACAACAGCCCCAGCCCCAACTATAGCCCCAACCCCAACGGCAGCCCCAACTCCAACCACAGCCCCAACAACATTCCCAACTCCAACTACAGCCCCAATGCCAACAACAGCTCATACTCCAACAACAGCACCAACTCCAAATCAGCCTCAACTTCAATCACAACCCCAACTGCAGCCCCAACTCCCATAGTCCCAACTACATCCCCAACCCCAACCACAGCCCCAAACCCAACCACAGCCTTAAACCCAACTATAGTCTACCAGAATGCCAAATCCAACAACAGGCCAATCTTCAACCACAGCCCCAACCCAAACCTCAATCACAGGCCCAATGTAAACACCACCACAGCTCCAGTCCAAATTCAACCACATCCCCAATCTCAACCACAGCCCCAACATGAACCACAGCCCCAACCACAGCCCAAACATCAACAAGATTACATTTATAGAGTGCCTTTCACGTCAGGAGGACGTCCCAAGGTACTGGACAGTCGTGTTGGGACCCGAGCAGGGGGAAATGGTCAGGGTGAGGGAAGCGAAGGGAGGGATCGAGGAGGGGGGTAGAGTCGAGAGGGGAGGTGAAGGCACAGAGTCTGGGGTTATGGTTTGGGTTATGGTGGGAGTTGGGTCTGTGGTTGGAGCTGTGGTAGGAGTTGGAGCTGTGATTGGTGTTGGTTTTGGGGATGAGGGCTGCGCTTTTGCTGTGGTTGGAGTTGGGGCTGTGGTTGGTGTTGGGGCTGTTGTTGGAGTTGGGGCTGTGCTTGGGGCTATGGTGGGAGTTGTAGTTGGAGTTGGGGCTGTGATTGGGTCTATGGTTGGGGTTGGGGCTGTGGTTAGAGTTGTGGTTTGGGTTGGGGCTGTGGCTGGGCTGTGTTTGGGCTTCGGGCTGTGGCTGTGGCTGTGGTTGGGTTTGGGGCTGTGATTGTGGTTGGGTTTGCGGCTGTGGTTGGGGCTGTGGTTGGTGTTGGGGTTGGAGTTGGTAGCTTTCTTGAGCTACTAACCAGAGACTAAACTCCAACTGCAGCCCCAACCACAGCCCCAACTCCAACCACAGCCCCAACCACAGCCCCAAACCCAACCACAGCCACAACCACAGCCCCAAACCCAACCACAGCCACAACCACAGTCCCAAACCCAACCACAGCCACAACCACAGCGCCAAACCCAACCACAGCCACAAACGCAGCCCGAAGCCCAAACACAGCCCAGCCACAGCCCCAACCCAAACCACAGCCCTAACCACAGCCCCAACCCCAACCATAGCCCCAACCACAGCCCCAACTCCAACAACAGCCCCAACACCAACCACAGCCCCAACTCCAACCACAGCACAAGCACAGCCCCCAACCCCAAAACCAACAGCAATCACAGCCCCGACTCCTACCACAGCTCTAACCACAGACCCAACTCCCACCACAACCCAAACCATAACACCAACTACAACAACAGCCCCAGCCCCAACCATAGCCCCAACTCCAACCACCACCCAAACTCCAAACACAACCACAGACCCAATCCCAACCACAGCCTCAAACACAGCCCCAACTCAAATCACAGCCCCAACCATAGTCCCAACCACAGCCCCAATACCAAATACAGCCCCAACCACAACCAACATCCCTAACCCAATCCCAAACCAACCAAAGCCTCTATCTCAACCATTGCTCCAACCACAGCCCCAACTCCAGCAACAGCCCCTACTCCAAACCCCAACCCCAAACACAGCCCCAAATTTAACTCCAACCACAGCTCAAGAAAGCTACCAACTCCAACCCCAACACCAACCACAGCCCCAAAACCTACCACAGGCCCAACTACAGCTCCAACTTCAACCACAGCCCCCACTCCAACCATAGCCTCAATCACAGCACCAACTCCCACACAATCCCAACCACAGCCCCAACTCCAACAACAGCCCCAGCCCCAACTATAGCCCCAATGCCAACCACAGCCACAACGCCAACCACAGCACAAACACAGCCCCCAACCCCCAAACCAACATCAACCACAGCCCAAACTCCTACCACATTGCCCACCTCCAACCACAGCCCCAAATACAGACCCAACTCCCACCACATCTCAAACCCCAACCACAACTCCAACCATAGCCCCCACCCCAACTGCAACCACAGCCCCAACCATAACAACAGCCGCAATCATAGCTCGAACCACAGCTCCAACACCAACTACATTACTAACCTCAACCACAGCCTCAAACCCAACCACAGCCCCAACTCGAACCCCAACTCCGACCACAGCTTCAGTCCCAAAGAGAGCCCCAAAACCAAGCACAGCTCCAACTCCAACCACAGCACCAATTCCAACAACAGCCCCAGCCCCATCCATAGCCCCAACCATAACCCCAACTCCAATCACAGCCCCAACTACTACCACAACACCAACCATAGCCCCAACTCCAACAACAGCCCCAGCCCCAAACATAGACCCAACGCCAACCACAACCCAAACTCCAAACACATTCCCAACCACAATCCCAAACACAGCCCCAACTCCAACACCAACTCCAACCATAGCCCCCAACCCAACTCCAACAACAGCCCCAACCACAATAACAGCTCCAAACAAAGCTCGAACCACAGCTCCAACACCAATCACATCCCCAAATACAACTCTAACCAAAGCCCTATACCAAACAACAGCCCCAACTACAGCCAACTCCAAACACAGCCCCAAACATACCCCTAACCATAACCACAGAGCCAAACACACCACCATCCCCTGCCCAATCACAGACCCAACTCCAACCACAGCCCCAACTCCAATCACAGCCCCAACCACAACCACAGTCACAAACCCAAACAGAGCCCCAACTCCAAACCCAACTCCTACCACAGCCCCAATGGCAGCTACAACACAAACCCCAATCCCAAATGCAGCCGCAAATCCAAACACAGCCAAAAACACAAACAAAGCCCGAACTCGAACAATATACCCAACTCCAACTAAATAACCAAGTACAGCCCCAACCCCAATTGCAATCCCAACCACAGCCTCAACTCCAATGACAGCCCCAACCACTGTACCAACCACAGCACCAACTCCAAACCCAACTTCAACCACAGCCCCCAAACCAGCTCCAACCCCAACCATAGCCTAACCAGAAACCCAACCACAGCACCAAACCCAACCACAGCACCAACTGCAACCACTGCCCCAATCTCAACCCCAACCACAGTCTGAAGTTTAACAACAGCCCCAACCACAGAACAAACACAAACAGAACACCAACTCCAACCACAGCCCCAACTCCAACCACAGCACCATCTCCAACCACTGCCCCAACCCAAACCTCAACCACAGCCCCAATCTCAACCCCAATCACAGTCCCAACTCGAACGACAGCCCCAACCCCAGCCACAATCACAGCCCCAACCCCAAACACAGTCACAACCACAGCCCCAACAACAACCACAACCACAGCCCCAAAACCAAAACTCCAATGGCAGCCCCAAACCCAACCACAGCCCCAACTCCAAACCCAACACCAACCACAGCCCGAAATCCAAACACAGCCCCAACTCCAACCACACCACCACAGCACCAACTCCAAGCACAGATCAAACTCCAACCATAGCCCTATCCCCAACAACAGCTCCAACAACAACCCCAACCACAGCCCCAACCCCAAACACAGCCCCAATCATAGCCTTAAGTACAACAGAGCCAAACACAGCCTCAACCCTTATCCCAACCACAGACCCAGCTCCCAACCATAGCCCCAACTCCAATCACAGCCCCAAACCACAACCCCAACCACAGTACCGACTCAAACTGCAGCCCCAACTACAACCACAGCAAACCCAAACACAGCCCCAACCCCAATCCAAAACCCAACCACAGCTCCAAACCCAATTCCAACGACAGCACCAAACCCAACCACAGCACCAACACCAACCACAGCCCCAACTCCAACCACAGCTTAAGTCCCAAAACCAACACCAGCCCCAACCAATTCCAACCACAAACACAGTTCCAAATCCAAACACAGCCCCCAAAACAGCCCCGACTCCAACCACACCACTTACCACAGCACCAACTCCAAACACAAACCAAACTCCAATCACAGCCCCAACCCCAATCCGAAGCCCAACCACAGCCCCAACTCCAAATGCAAATCCAACCACAGCTCCAGGCCCAACCACAGCCCCAATGGAGCTTTGGTTGGAGGTTCGGTTGGAGTTGGGGCTATGGTTGGGGTTTGGATTTGAGTTGGGGTAGTGGTTGGTGTTGGGGCTGTGCTTGGGCCTGGAGCTGTGGTTGGAGTTGGGTTTGGAGTTGGAGCTGTGGTTGGGGTTTGGATTTCAGTTGGGTTTGTGGTTGGTGTTGGGGCTGTGTTTGGGTCTGGAGCTGTGGTTGGAGTTGGGTTTGGAGTTGGGGTTGTGCTTGGGGGTTGGATTTGAGTTGGGGTTGTGGTTGGTGTTGGGTCTGTGTTTGGGTCTGGAGCTGTGGTTGGAGTTGAGTTTGGAGTTGGGGCTGTGGTGGGAGTTGGGGCTGTGGTTGGGGTTGTGTTTTGGACTGTGAATGGAGTTGGGGCTTTGGTTGGGTTTGTGGCTGTGGTTGGAGTTGGAGCTGCAGTTGGAGTTGATGCTATGGTTGGGACTGTGTTTTGGACTATGATTGGAGTTGGGGCTGTGGTTGGAGTTGGGGCTGTGGTTGGAATTGAGTCTGTGGTTGGCACTGTGGTTGTGGTTAGGGCTATGATTGGAACTGTGTTTGGGGTTCGGGCTATGATTGGGGCTGTTTTTGGGGCTGTGGTTGGAATTCGGGCTGTGTTTGTGGTTGGGATTGGGGTTGTTGTTAGTGTTGGGGCTGTGGTTGTGACTGTGGTTCATGTTGGAGCTGTAGTTGGTGTTGGGTTGGAGTTGGAGCTCTAGTTGGTGTGCAACGCCAACTCCAACCACAACCCCAACCTCATCCCCAACACCAACTGCAACTACAGTCCCAACTCCAAACACAGCCCCAACCACAGCCCTAACCTCAGCCCCAAATCCAACCACTGTCCAACCACAGCCCCAACCCTATATCCCAAACCCAACCTCAGCCCTAAATCCAACAACTGCCCCAACCACAGAACCAACCACAGCACCGACTCTTACCACAGCCCCAACTCCAACCATAGCCCCAAACACAGCCCAACCCACAACGACAGACCCAACCACAGCCCCAACCCTAATCCTAAACCCAACCTCAACCCCAAATCCAACGACTGCCCCAACTACAGAACCAATCACAGCCCCAACCCCAACCACAGACCCAAACACAGCCCAACCTCAACGACAGACCCAACCACAGCCTGAACCACAGCCCCAACTGCATCCCCAATCCAAGCCTCAACGATAGCTGAAACAACAGTCCCAACCTCCAACAACAGCCCCTACGCCAATCCCAAACCCAACCAAAGCCCCTACAACAACCACAGGCCCAATTGCAGCCCCAAACAATCCTCAACTCCAACAACAGCCCCAAAACCAACTCCAACCCCAAACATAGCCCAACCAGAACCCCAACCCGAGCTTCAATCCCAACCACAGACCCATCTGCAAACACAGCCCCAAACCAAACTCCAACCACAACCCCAACCACAAATCCAATCTCAACCCCAAACACAGCCCCAGCCCAAATCCAAGCACAGTTGCAATCTCAACCACAGCCCTACCATAGCCCCAACCCCAACCACAGCCCCAACACCAACCAGAGCCCCAACCACAGCCCCAATCCCAACCCCAACCTCAGCCCCAATCCCAACGACAGACAGAACCATAGCCCCAACCACCGTCCCAGCCAATCAGAGCCCCAACCACAATCTCAACCACAGCACCAACAACAACAACAAAATTACATTTATAGAGTGCCTTTCACATCAGGAGGATATCCCAAGATGCTGGACAGTCCAGGTCAGGAGCCAAGCATGGGGGAGGGGTGTAGAGGTAAGGGAAGGCAGAGAGGTGGGAGAGCGACTGAAGGCACAATCGAAGAGGAGGGTCTTGGGACCGGCCTTGAAGTAGGCAAGGGATGAAACAAGGCGAAGGGACTATGGGATGGAGTTCCAGAGTGTGGTGGCAGAGAGGCTGAAAGCCCGGCCAATGATGGTAGGTTGGATTGGGCGGGAGACATGGCGCAAATCCTCCTTTTAGCAGCCCGCTAAAAGGAGGATTTGGAGGTTGGTTGGGAGTCAGCAGTTCAGAGAGGTAGGAGGGGGCAAGGCCATGGATGGCCTTGAAAGTGAGGACAAGGATCTTGAACTCAATCCTCTGGGGTATGGGGAGCAAGTGGAGTCATGCAATGGTGGGAGTGATGGGGCACGGAGCCTGGTGTGTGAGAGTACACAAGCTGCAGAGTTTTGGATGATCTACAGCTTGTGAAGGGAAGAGTTGGGAAGGCTGATGAGGAGGGAGTCTCCATAATTGAGTCTTCATGTGACGAATGCATAGATAAGTTTTTCAGCAGCCTGAGAGGTGAGGCAGTGGCGGAGTCTGGCAATGTTGCGGAGGTGGTGGTAGGCAGTGCGGGAGAAAGGACTGTTCAGGGTCAAATAAGACACCCAGGTTCCTGACTGGCTTAGTGATGTTGAGTGTGCAGCCATGGAGGCTGATGCTGCTAGCACCTGAGGTGCAGAGGCAGTGGTGCGAGCCAATCAGGAAGGCCTCAGTTTTGCTGACGTAGATTTGGAGAAAGTTCCTCGTCCAGGACTTGTCGGACAGGCAGTTGGTCAAGACGACAGTAGTCCTGGAGTTCAGGGTGGAGGCAGAGAGGTAGAGTTGGGTGTCATCTGCATACATATGGAAATTTACCTCATGACTGAGGATGATGTCACCAAGGGGGAGCATGTAGAGGATGAAGAGGAGGGGACGGAGGACAGAGCCCTGAGGAACACCACACGAGACAGTGCAGGGGCTGGAGGAGAAACTATTTGCTGAGATGAAGTGGAGGCGGTGTGAAAGGTAGGACCTGAACCAGTCAAGGACAGAACCTTGAAGGTTGAGGTGGAAGGAGAGGCAGTGAAGGAGGATTGAATAATCCACAGTATCAAAGGCGGTGGAGAGGTCGAGGAGGATGAGAAGGTAGATGGAGCCGTGGTCACAAATGGTCAGGATATCATTTGTGACCTTGACCAGAGCAGGTTCCGTGCTGTGGGCAGCACTGAAACCTGATTGGAGGGGCTCATGGAGGGAGTGGGAGGAGAGGAAAGAGCGAAGGTGGGAGGCAACGTCTCTCTCAAAGAGCTTAGACAGAAAAGGGAGATTGGAGATGGGCCAGTAGCTGGATAGCTGTGATGGATCAAGGGAAGGTTTCTTCAAGATAAGGGTGATAGTGGCTGTTTTGAGGGGGCTGTGCCAGATGACAGGAAGATGATGTCAGTAAGTAGCGGAGCAAGGAGCTGGGATTTAAGGTGAGGGGTGGGATTGGATCCAGTGAGCAGGTGGTGGGCTTCATTGAGGATATGGTGGTGATGACAGAGGAGGGGTTGATAGGTTAAAAGGTGTGGAAGGAGGGATGGATAGTGGCAGCTGAGCGGATTCCCTCGATTTTGGACTCAAGGAAGTCCAGCATTTCCTTGCAGTGGGAGATGGAGGAAAGAATCTTCAAGGCATGGCAGGGAGGGCGAAGGAGCCGGTTGGTGGAGGTAACTCGCAATTTCATGACTGATGAAAGCATTATCTTCTCTGAGACGCTGATGGATGGGCTGTGGATTCTGTTTACAATCATGGACAACATTCCGGGAACAATCAGTGCCGGGAAGAGCCCAGTTAATGGGCTTTCTGGAAAGTTGCCTGGTTTTCAAACATGTGTGGAGTGCTGTAGCTCAGAGAGCGCTCGCCTCACAAGCGAGAGAATTTGGGTTCAATTCCCGGCAGGGCAAAACGTTGGGAAAGTTTCCTTACTCCACACACCTTGTTTACCTAGCAGTAAGTAGGAACCTGGTTGTTAGTCGGATCACTTTTTGTGAAACGCTTTGAGACTCTTGAAGACGGTGATAAGGCGCTATATCAATGCAAGGATTATTATTATTCTCTCTGCTTCTCTAGGGCCAATGGCAAGCTGCCTGAGTGTAACAGCTCATCTTGGCACAAACACTGAGCCACAAATCTCTTCCCCCGGGTGACGTGGCCAGGGAAGTGGAGGGGTGGGGGGTGGAGAAGATATGTAAAAAAGGGAAATTCTCAGAAACAATTTTCTCCAAAGCTGGATAAGTGCTTTACACAGCAGTAGTCTCTGTCCCAGATGTTCGTTTATCAGTTTAGGAGCTGTGTGCATGCAGTTAATGTGGATAAAATGTTGTTGGAGTCAGTTTGCCCCAGAGGAGCTCACAGCTCATACAGTCATTAGGAAACCAACAGCTGATTATTTATTGCTTTAACTGAAACAACCTGCCCCAAACACAATATTGACGAACTAGATTGAAAGGTTACTGGGTTCTCTACAGTTACTTATCCGGGGCTTGAATGACAGCCAAACACTCCAATACTATATCTACAGTGCTGCAGTGCTGCCAACTGCAGGTGGATAATTGACATCACAGCATTGAATTAAAAATAATAATAATCCCTGCATTTGATATAGCGCCTTATCACATCATTGAGACGTCTCAAAACGCTTCACAGAATATACTGCAAAGTGAATTGGCTATATGAAACACAGCAGTGTCACAATAGTTGTAGATTGAGTGACCAAATTATTTTTTTAAAAAGGATTATTCTCCCTGGAAAGTGATCCACCAATAGACTAACAAC